AATATGATAAAAAGTACCAAAGACCTACAAGATTTATATGCCCTGTAATATACCAATACCACTCATAAGGAATTTTTATTAAGAAAATAATTAAGGACTTGGAAAAGCATAATAAGAATGTTTATCTAAGTACCATTACCCATAGCAAGGAGTTGGAAATAGTTGAAGTGTCCAAAGATAGAGATTAATCAAATGTCATATAACAACATATGGACTATGTAGTCGTTTATATTATGGAAGGATATTTATATTATATTAACTTTATTTTTGGCTCCGCCCACGTGACCCAGCCAATCGGCCTCAAGAGCAGGAGGATTGTGGGAGGTGGAGAGAAGCTGGTGTTGGAGAGAGAGGCTTGTGGGAAGCCGGTGGTGGCAGTTGAGGCTCTGAGAGTTTTTCCTGAGAGGCTGTTTTGTTTGGCGTGTGTGATTCTAAAAATAAAGTTAGTTTCTTTTGACAAGTGGCTCCTGATTGTGCCCAGCCAGGCATTTGGTGGCCCGTACAGATAGGGCGAGAGGAAAAATGGCCATTTTAAGATTTTGCCCAGCCAGCCGGCCTTCGACAATAAGTATGGCCATTTCATTTGTTTTTTAAAAAGTTGTAGACAGGGGCTGGGGCTGTAGCTCAGTGGCAGAGTGCTTGCCTAGCATGCGTGAGGCACTGGGTTCGATCCTTAGCACCACATAAAAAAATAAATAAAATAAAAGGATTCTGTCCATCTACAACCAGAAAAAAAAAGAAAAGAAAAAATAAGCTGTAGACAGAAGATATTTTGGAAGCTATTAGTAACTGGTTTTTCTGGTTGGGGAGACTGTATATCTTTTTAATATTTTCTTTTGTTTGTGATTATTTCTAATTTCCTATTAAAACATATATTGCTGTCACAATTTTAAAACCAAACCAAGCTATTTTTTTTTAATGAAAGAGAAAACTAGGGTTATTACATCTATAATTTGGGCTTAATGTTGTTGAATAGCCCTTCTCATTTTTTTCTCTGACCATGCCATCCATCCTTCATCCTGTGATATACATTAAATTTTGCTGAGCTCACATGCTGTGCAATCAGGCCGAGGGTGGAAGGCAAATTCTCCTGGTTTAATTGCTATGGCAACATAGAATTAGGAAGAAAAAAAAGCTTAGATGTAATTTAGTTTAGTTCTTTTCATTTTGCAAAATAAAGAACCAGAGAGAGGTACAAAGAAGTGAATGATTAAGGTCAAAAAGTTAGCTGAACAGCAACTACAACCAATCCTCAGATCCTAAGTCTATTTATTCTCAAGAAATTTGGCTTAATACCCCCATCAATGATCCTGGCTACCAAGATGACCTTGGGAAGGGTGTATAGCAGCTCTGCCAACAGGAACACCCAAGGGAAAGCCTAAGTCAGTTAAACAAAAGTCTAGTTAACGCCTAGTTCATTTTCATGCTCAAATGAACTCCCCAGTGTCAGAACAGGAAAAACATGAGAACAGAGAGGCCATGTTGTCCAATATTAACCTTTTTTGGAGGATACGAACTTTGAAACAAAGAGTAGATTCTGTGATTAAGTCACCTAAGCCCTAAATCATGGACTACTGTATATGGTGATTAACTGCAATAAATACCCTGAAATAACAATATAGTCAGTTTAACATGGTAGATCACCAGCTTCTAACAACAGCTTCTGTGCTTTTTACATATTTTCTTAAAGAAAGAATTTGGGGGCTGCAGTTGTGGTCAGTTGTAGAGCGCTTGCCTAGCATGTGTGATTCTCTGCACTACATATAAAATAAAGAACCACTGACAACTAAAAAAAAATATAAAGATATATACACACACACACACACACATATACATATATATGAAAGAAAGAGGGGCCAGGGTTGTGGCATAGTGGTAGAGCACTTACCTAGCATGCATGAGGTGCTGGGTTCAATCCTCGGCACCACATTAAAAAAAATAATAATAAAATGAAATAAAGGTATTGTGTCCATGTACAATTAAAAATATATTAAGAAAGAAAGAAAGAAAAGGGGGCTGGGGAGGTGGCTCAAGCGGTAACGCGCTCGCCTGGCATGCACGGGGCCCTGGGTTCGATCCTCAGCACCACATAAAAATAAAATAAAGATGTTGTGTCCACCGAAAACTGAAAAATAAATATTAAAAAAAAAAAAAAAGAAAGAAAAGAAAAGAAAATGGATAGCACATTCCAGCAGTTTTCAAAAAGTAGTCCACAAATCTTGGGAGTAAAGGTATGGGATAGATCCCTGAGGCCTTTTCAAGAAGTCAGAAGTTAAAAATATTTGGTATAAAGGCATTTTTTGAGAGAGAGAGAGAGAGAGAGAGAGAGAGAGAAATTTTTTTAATATTTATTTTTTTAGTTTTCAGGCGACACAACATCTTTATTTATTTATTTATTTATTTTTTATGTGGCGCTGAGGATCAAACCCAGCGCCTCCGCATGACAGGCAAGCGCGCTACCGCTCGAGCCACATCCCCAGCCCCAATAAAGGCATCTTTTTAAAAAACTTTTTAAAAAACTGTATTGACATTGTACTGATGATGAAAAGGAATGATGGAAAAAAACTATTGGCTCCTTAGCACAAATCAAAGCAGTGGCACCAAACTGTATTAGTAGTTGTATTTTTTTACCACCTCACTCTCATGCTAAAAATAATGTCAGTTTCACTTAGAATGTCTTTGATAAAATAGCAAAAATTATGAATTTTATGAGATCTCAGCTCTTAATGTATAGGAATACAAGTACATGCAAAGCATTTCTATTGTACCCCTGAGTACAACAGTTGTCCAAATAAAATGCACTTGTGCAACTGAATGAATTGTGAACTAAAACTGCCTTTCTTTTTTTTTTAACGGAGCACCACTTTTACTTGATCAAACTACTTTCAGACAAATCAGGATTATTCTGACTTAAATATTTGGCAGAAGTTCTGTCAAAAATGTAACAAAGTGATTTAAATTAAAAAAATGTAACAAAGTGAGACTGTCACTTCAAGGGAAAAAACTTGACAGTTTGTGTTGCTAATGATGAAATTCTAGCTTTCAAATGAACATTAGAAGTTTGGAAATTTCTTTCTGCAATGTGAGGTTGACAGCTTTCCAACACTTAAAAACATTTCTAAGATTGATAAGGACATTAGGAATTTGACTCTTCGATATTATATAATGGAATACGCCAACATTAGGAAGATCTATAGAACAAGGCAACCACTAATTTCCAAATGACTCATGTTTGATGTTATAAAATCATAGAAGGGTAGAAAATTCATTAAAAGATTTAGGATACCCCGGTGAATTTTAATGTAACAGTCAGAAAAACACATTGACATAGTTTCAGATTCCATTTTGCAACTAAACTTTTTCAAACTACCATTTGTTGAAAATTGATGTGATAAAAAGCTATTAAACAATTCCTCTTTCCAACTGAATGAGTATGGGTGGGATTTTCCTCATCTTCTTAAATCGAAACAAAAAAGTAAAATAAATTTAATGCAGGAGTAAATGTAAAAATCCAGCTATCTTGTATTGACACACATTAGTTTTGCAAAAATTCAAAATGATCACATTCCTAGAATGATTATCATTAAACATAGCATTACCATATGATCCAGCATTTTCCACATACATTTTCCAGGTATATATCCCAAAGAACTGAAAGCAGACTCAAACATAGTTACATACCAATGATCACAAAGCATTATCCAACAGTCAAAAGGCAGAAGCAATCCAAGTGTGCACTGACAGATGAATGGCTAAACAAAATATTTATGCATGTAATACACTTATTACTGTTTATAAACTAATAAATACTGAAAAAAATGTTACAGCTTTAATTTATCATATGGTAAATAGGGCAGATATAACCCAAATCAATCTTAGGTTCTTAACAATTTTTGAGAGCTCAAGGGATCTTGAGATATAAAAAGGTTAAGAACAACTGTCTTAAATGACAATTTATTCTCTCCTTACACCTGCATTATGTAAAGATCTTCATTTGTTGGTATAACTTTATTTGCCAGCAATACCACTTCCAGTGTGGAGATTAGCCAAAAAAAAAAAGGGACAACCTAAAATATGTTCACAATCATCACATTAACTCTTTATAATTACTATTGTCCCCTGGATGCACAATAACTCCACAAGACTGAGCAACACAAAGCTCCACACAATTGAGTGGCAATGGACAATAGAAAACTGTACAAAGCTTAAATGATGATGACATGTTCCAAAGTAGTTTTGTAGACAACGAGGACAAAACACACCTTCCTTTTTTTAAATTGAAACTTCATTTGGCTTTACAGTTCTGGTCAGATTTGGGTATGGGGATGGTGGCTGCATTGTTTCCGAAAACCAGTGCATCCATGCAAAGAATTCAATTCTTTTACCATCTTGCTACTGGTCTGTTGTGAGGGGTGTGGTTAGGAAGCAATTCAAAACAGTTTTAATTTTGGGGCCAAGTCAATAGGTTCTGACAAGAGGCAGAATGTTTGTTTTATGGCGAGGAGGAAAATAAAAAGGAAATTAAAAACCACGGACGCAAATAGGCGGCAAAATCAAAGCGGTTTCATGTGTATATGTTAAACGACTGGAATGCTAATGATGTGAATGAGGGGCAAAAGAGAATTGTTATTCCTAAGTCTACAACTGCAGCACTTTCAATGCCAGGTCTGCAGTTCTGGGTAAGGGAGAAAATGAAAGCATTTCGTAACTAGCCCAGCTCTCTGCATTCATTTTCGGCTGGGTCTGTGACCTGTCTAGCTGACTGCGGCAAAGGCAGTCCCAAACAAAGGGGAATGGATGTCCTCTCGAGGGAATCGAGGAGGGAAAAGTGGCCCCAGGTAGTCACGTCAGGTGTCCCTAAGGGGTCGCCCAGGCAGGTTGTGAGGAGTGAGGTTCCCAGGTGCGTGAGAGGGGAAAGCTTGCTCCAGGGCGCCTGGCATTAACCGGGCAGAAGATCCCGCCCTGCCCATGGTCAAGGTTAACCCGCGCACGGAAAGTACCTGTGGAGGCCTCGCACAGCCGAAAGGCACCGGGCAATCATGGGCACGCCGAGAGGCCGGCAGCAGCGAGTGCGTGGTCTTGGGGTCTGGGGGCGACCGAGGCGGGCGCCCGGCAGCGGAGAGTGGGCCTAGCGCTGAAGACCACAGCGGAACCGCGGCGACGGCTGGCCTGCCAGCGCCCTCCCACGTGCTGCAGCCCCACGCCGGCGCCCACGGAGGCCCGCCCCGCGCCGCGCCCCGCCCCGGCCCGCCCTGCGCCCCGCCCCGCGCCCCGCCCCTCCCCGCCCCACGCGTCCTGCACCGCCCCCGGGGCGGAACCGGCGAGACCCAGCAGCTCTGAGCCAAGCGCGCAGCCGGGTGGGCTGAGGGGGCGGCGGCGGCGGCGCGGGAGCCGGGAAGTTTGGGCGACTCCGGCCAGTGCTGTGATCCCGAGCCAAGCTCCAGCCTTGAGGACCAGGCACCAGCGGCCCGGCTTACGAACGCCCCGGGGCCCGCAGCCGTCGTCTCGCGTCCGCTTGCCTGGTAAGGGGCTTCTGTCTGGAAAGGGTGCGTCTCCCGCAGCTCCAGTCGGAGGCCTGCATCGCGCACCCGCTGCAAACCTCGTCTGAGCCGAGGCGAGGCCCGGTAACTGGAGGGAAGGAGGATTGCAGTGGGAGGTGGATGTGCCCTGAGGAGAGGTAGGAGGAGAAGCCTGGAGGGGGTTACACATCTCTTTTCCTTTTGGTGCCCCCTCTCTCCGATCTGTTTTCACCTTCGGCCCTGGGGCCTTATTTAGAATTTGTAATAGCCCATGGCCTAGAGGCTGAGTTCGCCTTTAAAATAAGCACCCAAATAATAAACATCCTAGCGGCGTTACCACACCCTGGCTTTGAATTAGGGAACCTGGGGAGCAGATGGATGATGCGATTTAGTGGAAATAAGCCATTAATGCTGGCTGGCCCTGCGCCACTGTTTGAATGCAATAGTATTCCATGTGAATGAACAAGACCGGGGGCTTCCAGCTACTGCAGACAGCGCTGATGGGTTTGTAGTAACTATCGGTTTAGGCAATAATTGTTTGACTTGGACGTGGATTATAGAAATGCCCTTTATCAAGAATGACACTCAATGGTTGAACAACTGTTCTTAAGTGTATTTCCTCAGCAAATGACTCTCAACCTATGAAAGTAGCTGGAGCATAAATTATTAGTACTTTTTAAAAACTCATGATCCAGAGGAAGATGCTCAACAAGGAGCATCTTCTGAGTCAGCAGGATGAAATGCCCCTCAACTTAGTACTGAGGCCTTTAGGGGGATTTCTACATCTATATTTGTATTCCTTTCCTGTATCTATACCATATAGATAACAGTGAAAGTTTATGCTTATGTTATACGTATTTTGAAAAAAAATTACTGATGGAAAATTTAACGAAGTCTAATATTACTGGGTTTAAATTAAAATATGTAATAAATTACCATAATAATACTTTGTGCTCTCTTGACTCAAAAAAAAGAAAAAAAAAGAGCTCAAGGTAGTGCAGGGAAAGGTGATTTATAACTTTCTTGATTCTTTAAAATAATTGAGCTCAGTGTTTTCATTTATCTTATCAGCAGGGTGAAATGCCCCTCAACTTAGTACTAAGGCCTTTTAGGGGGATTTCTACATGAAGGGAAAGGTGATTCATTATCTAAAGAAAATGTTTGTTATATTTACTCTGTAGCAAACAGGTAAATGCAATCATTTAGTAAAAGATGATGTTTTTCTAATCAAAGGCAATATAATATTTTTAAGGGCTGGAAAGAAAACTGAAAGTATTTTAAAAACCAAGATGTTACATTCCTATTTTTAGGCTGTTTTTTACTTTTAATGTAACATGTAACCCTTCCTTTATTATTTATAACTTTCCTGAATGATTCTTTAAAATAATTTAGCTCAATGTTTTCATTTTTCTTATCAAGGAAGTGTTTAAGGTCCTAAAATGTCATCTATCAAGCACCTAGTTTATGCAGTTATTCGTTTCTTACGGGAACAAAGTCAGATGGATGCTTATACTTCTGATGAACAAGAAAGTTTGGAAGGTAGGCTCCCGGTCTTTGTTTTATTTGTCTTATAATTATAAATAAATAATAAAATAGCTATAAGCCAACTTTTTTTTTTTTTTTTTTTTTGGTACTGGGGATTAAACTCAGGGGCACTTAACCAATGAGCCACATCCCCAGCCCTATTTTGTATTTATTTAGGGACAGGGTCTCACTGAGTCGCTTAGCACCTCACAGTTGCTGAGGCTGGCTTTGAACTCGTGATTCTACTGTCTCAACCTCCCAAGCTACTGGGATTACAGGCATGCACAATCATGCCTGGCCCCAACTTTTATGTTATTAAAAAATCAGAATGTTTTGTTGATCTTTCAAGTGGAGAAGCTTATCTGGAAGAGTATCTTATTTCCATTCTCTGAAGTTTGTTTTAATTAACAACAAAATAAAAGCGCTGTTGTTCATTTATTGAACAATTATTGTTTTGGAACTATGCTATTCATATTATAGGGAATGTTTTCTTCACATTGACTAAATTAGTATAATTCCCATTTAACAGATGAGACAATTAAACCAGATGCTTTAAGTAACATTACAGCTGATATGTGACAAAATTGAGGTTTTAATTCCAGTTCTTATGCTGAAGATTTTGTTTTCTTCTTTTTCTAATAGCAAAGTATTCAGTTTAGAAATAACTCATAAAAATACCTTAGTTGTTGTAATCATACTACATAAAAGTCTAAATAATTATACCATTGGTGAGCTCTGACATGTGCCTATTTTGGGACTTGAAGTGAGAAGATTTCATCCTTGTCTTGTGTTAGCTTTAAATATTTGATTCAGGAATCTATACAGTTGAGCAGGACTTAGATGATAACATCATATGGTTCCTTGACACCATCTTCATGCTTCATGTTTATGCATTATAAAATTTTAAATTCAGTATTAAACATAACAAGATGGAATTCTGCATATGGGCTTGTGGAAGTTCAGTGAACCTGGCTTTTTTGTGGCCTAAAGATTTAATTATTGCAGTGAGAGTATTCTGGGGGAGCTTAATATATAAGAGTATAGTTTGAATTTCCAATCTTGAAGCTCCTGCTTCTGTATAAGGGACACATCTATTAATTTTGAGTACTTCCCTTATAAATATCCTTTAAGGAGGTGGGGATGAAAATTGGGCGTTTGCTATAAATCTGCTTGCAGTCTGGTGGGATGATGTCTTTCCAGGTGGCAGTGAGAGGAGCAGGTGATGCACAGTTGGAGAACACTGCAAATCAGTCCATGTAATATTAAGGTCTTTTTGTTCTCCTTCATGGTCAGACTGTATGAAGGGAAAGGTGATTGGTTATCTAAGGAAAATGTTGTTATGTTTACTCTATAGCAAATAGGTAAATGCAATCATTTAGTAAAAGATGATGTTTTTCTAATCAAAGGCAGTATAATATTTTTAAGGGCTGGAAAGAAAACTGAAAGTATTTTAAAAACCAAGATGTTACATTCCTATTTTTAGACTGGTATTCAGCCAAAAATATGTGCCTTCAGCTGTTTGTTATATATGGCAGTCAGAAATAGTGCCAATTTTTGTGACTGACCCCTATTTTTGACTGTGAGTCTAATTTAATTGAACACAAAATCATGTGAAGGTGTCTGCCCACCTTCTAGACATTTAAAAAAGCCCTAGGAAAGGAGGCTCCATTCTAGTGCCAACTTTACCACTATTGAGAAACTGGTGATATCATCAGCTTTGTCTTATTAGATTGTCAGGCATTCCTCTTAATTGTTGTCATCTACTGATAATCTGCTTCATTTTTATTTTTATTTTTGGTACCAGGGATTGAACCCTGGGGTGCTTAACCACATTCCAGCCCTACTTATTTTTATTTTGAGACAGGGCCTTTCTGAGTTGCTTAGGGCCTTGCTAAGTTGCTGAGGCTGGCTTTGAATTTGCTATCCTCCTGCCTCAGCCTCCTGAGGATTACAGGTGTGTACCACTGTACCTAGCTATTTTTATTTATTTTTTGAAATGAGGTCTTGGTGTATTGCCCAGGCTGATGTCAGACAACTGGCCCAAGTGATCTTCCTGCCTTGACCTTTAGCTGAGACTACAGGCACACTCAATTGTGTTCAGCTCCATCTGCTTTCTTCTTTTTGTTTGCTTGTTTTTTTGTTTTTGATACTAGGGATTGAACTCTGTGCACTTAACTACTGAGCCACATCACCAGCCTTTTTTTGTATTTTATTTAGAGACAGGGTCTCACTGCTTAGGGTCTTGCTAAGTTGCTGAGGCTGGCTTTGAACTTGAGATCCTCCTGTCTCAGCCTCTCAAGTGGCTAGGATTATGGGTATGCACCACTTCATCCAGCCATCTGCTTCCTTTTTAACTGTTGTGGTTCCTGTACCTTGTCACTCTCTCAAGTACTACTGCTCTCTGAACTCTTGGCAATTCTGCTAGATTCATACATGATTCTTTCAGTTCCCTCAATTCTCAGTTCTTAACTTTTTCTCCTTCAGTGATCTCAACCACATAGTTATAATCCAAGCCAGTTGTTCTGAACTTGAGTGATTTTGCAAAGTCCGAAGGCATTTTTGGTTATCACAACCTCAGGGCCTGATATTACTGGCATATACTATTAGAGACCATGGATGGTAGTAAACACTATAAAGCCTGGGACAGCCCCTGTGAATCAGGAATTATCTGTTCTAAAATGTCAGTATGAGATTGAGAAACCCTTCTCTAAATCTATCCTCCTGTCTCAGCCTCCTGAGGATAATGGGTGTGTTCCACTGTACCTGGCTATTTTTAGATAAATAAATCCTGAAAATCCCTAAATCTTACTATTTCCAAAAATTGCATTCCTTTCATAATCTCTATCTTAAACACTTCACTTTCACATCTGCCAGTCTTTCAAGCTCACGCCTTCTAGAATCCCTATCCCCCAAATTCTTTGAATCCACTTGTATTAGTTAGCTTTTCATTGTTGTGACAAATACCAGAGAAAAACAACTTAGGGGAGCAAAGGTTTATTTTGATTCAGGGTTTCAGAGATTTCAGTTGGTTGGCTAGCTCCATTGCTTTAGGACCTGAGGTAAGGTAGGACATTATGGCAGAAGGGTGTGATATGCTCGTGGCAGCCAGGAAGCAGAGAGACACCAGAGACAGAGAGAGGAAAAAGGGAGCCCCACATATTCTTAGTACTTGCCTGTCTGACCAACTATAACCTAGATGGACCATCCATGTTCCTTTCTCAGTATAACCCCTCTACTGCCATGTTAGATCCCATCCTATCTCAATCAATCCAGCACATCACTGTAGTTATGCTACCATCTTTGTTTTATAACCTCAAGTTCTCACTTTTTACTCTCATTTTCATCAGAACATAAATTTACCATTATTTTTTTTCTTTAAACAATAAAAACAAGCCGACGCAGTGGCACATGCATTTAATCCCAGTGGCAGGGAGGCTGAGAAAGAAGGATTGTAGTTCAAAGCCAGCCTAAGCAAAAGTGAGGTGCTAAGCAACTCAGTGAGATCTTGTCTCTAAATAAAATACAAAATAAGCTGAGGATGTGGCTCAGTGGACAAGTGCTCCTCAGTTGTTTAATCCTCAGTACCAAAAAAAAAAAAAAAAAAGAAAAGAAAAGGTAAAACAAACAATAGATATTCTTGTCATACTGCCTCCTCCTAAAATAGTTGCCTAGTTTTATCTCCCTTTGCAACAAAACCATTTGAGAGAGTTGTCTGTACCAGCTTTCTTTAATTCTTCTGTTCTTTCTGAAGCCCACTCCAGGTAGGCCTTTACTTCTTTCTTTCCACACTGCTGTCACCAAGGTCATTAATGATTTTTATGTTGTTTGGTTCCGTGGGCAGTTCTGTCATTATCTGATTTGCTTACTGACATTAATAAGGATGATGATCACTGTCTTCTCCCTTGCCCCCAAATACTTTGTTCCCTTAACTTCCAGGATAGTGCATAATATCTTGTCTGTCTTATTGTTTATCTTTTCCTTTCCTGATTCTCTTCCTGCTTGATTTTCTTTTCATTATTTACACTCATTTCTTCAGTGATATTATTAGCTCATTGGCCTGAAATATCCTGAATTTATATGCTGAAATGTCTCAAACTTGTACCTTTAATCCAGACCTTTCTTCTGAACCCCCAATTTTTAAATCCAACTGCTCTACTAGATATCTCCACTTATAAGTCTAATAGACTTCTTAAAGTTGACTTTGCCAAAATGGATCCTCCCACCTAAAATCTGTTCTATTCACAACTTCCCTATTTCAGTGATGGCATCTACAGTTTTTCCTTTGCTCAGGCCCAAAATTGGGTGCTATTCTGTACACTTCTCTTCCTTATACACTTATCTAATAATCAATAAGTCTTGTTGGCTATACCTTCAAAATATGTCTAAATTCTGTCCACTTCTTACTATCTCCACTGATGTCACCCCTAGTTAGAATGAAGTCTTTTTTGCCTATTGTATTATGATCACCCCTCGTTTGTCTGCCTGCCGCAGTCTGGCTGGGCACAAATGCCGCAGTCTGGCTGGGCACACAATCACGAGCCATCACACAGCTTGTAGATTCAAACAGCAACTCTTTATTCCCGAACTCACACCAGCCGTCTACAATCACGTTCTGGGGAAATCCACGTTCTCTGCCCAAATCCACCTCCACTGGGCTTCTGTCTCCCAAAAAATACTGTCTGAATCCCATGAGAACTCAAGGGGAACTCAGGCAGCAGGATACGCCCTATTCCCAGCAGGAATAATCTTAAACCTGGAACGCCCTAAACCCGATTATCCTAAACCGGGAACACCCTAATCCGCCCTGGTCCTTGAGCAAGGTCACCTACATGCAATGTCACTGCAAAATGTCCTATTTCCACGAGTCCTTCCACTAAGCAACATGGGGTACGCTGGCAAGGAAATTGTCATACCTACTTGGCTAATGGCTCCCAGCATCTGCCTTCTTCTATTCTTGCTTCTTAGAATATTTAAACATAACTACTAGTGATCTTTTAAGACTATATCAGATTTGCTGGGCATGATGGTGCACGCCTTGTTGTGGTTTGGATAGGAGGTATCCTCCAAAAGACAATGTGAGACAATGCAAGAAGGTTTGGATGATAAATGATTGGGTTACAGCCTTAACCAAATTAGTGAATTATTCCCTGATGGAATTATCTGAGTGGTAACTGGGGGCAGGTGGGGTGTGGGTTGAGGGCGTGGCTATGGGGTCTATATTTTGTATCTGGAGAGTAGAGTTTCTCTCTCTCTGCTGCTTGATCATCATGTGAGCTGGTTCACTCTTCCACACTCTTCTGCCATGATGTCCTGCCTCTCGAACCCCAAGGAATGCTGTCTATGGACTGAGACCTCTGAAACTGTTAGCCTCTAAATAACTTTCTTCCCTAAAATTGTTCTTTTAGTTACAATAGTGAGAAAGAGACTAAAACATGCCTCTAATCCCAGTGGCTCAGGAGGCTGATGCAAGAGTATTGCAAGTTCAAAGCCAGCCTCAGCAAATTAATGAGGTCCAAAGTAAGCTAGTATAGAAACCCTCTCAGATAAAAAATAAAAAGGGCTAGGGATGTGGTTCAGTGGTTAAGTGCCCCTGAGTTCAATCCCTGGTACATGCCCTGCCTCTAAAAAAAAAAAAAAAAAGTATGTCAGATTTGATCATTTCTGTACTTAAAATTTTACAATGTTGCAATTACTCCTCATGTTACTTAGTCATTGTTTAAAGGATCTATATAATTTGGACTTCTGTGATGTATTGTTCATTTACTGTTTCTCATTTGTTTTCTGCTAAATTAGCTTCCTTATTGTGAATGCACCAAATTCTTTTGCTTTTCTAACATCATCTCTCACCGTGTCTTAGCACCTACTGTGTTCCAACGAGTTCTCTTGTCCTACACCAAAAATAAATGAGGCACCTGCCTCCATTCAACAGGCTGTACATTTTACTTAATGTGTTTATTCCCTACGTCTATTAACCATTCATCATGTGGACAGTGATTTTTTTTTCTGTTAAGTTTGCTTCTGTTAAGTTTCCCTACCACCTTAGAATAACATCTTACACATAGTAGGCACTTGGTAAATTTGCATGTATGAATGGATTTTTAAAACTGACCTATCTTCATGTACATATACTAGGATTAATATTTAATTATTATGTGTCAGGGACTATTTCTTTTACAATTTTAAATCAGATTGATAATTCTATTTCTTGTATTTTAAAAACTGATCATTTTTTTTGTTCAAGGAATTAAGACACAAATGGCTAATTAGATATTAGTGGAGAGCTAGTTGTTGCTGACTTGCTCTTTTTTCTGATAGCCTTCAACAAGATTTGAGGTAATATGTATATTCAGAAATTATATTCTAGATAACGTCTATCTTTTAGTGAGATATAAGAAATCAAGTTTTGTTCCCCTCAATAGCTGGTCTATAAACAGAAATTTGTATGCAGCCGAACCAATTAGTTTTCCATATATTCTGTGATCATAAATACTGATTACCACAGAGTGCAGTGCTATCATCATTTCTTTCTTTAAGTTGCTAATTTTTTTCACTATTAAAATTTGTTTCAAGTTGCAATTCAGTGCTTGGAGACAGTTTTTAAGATCAGCTCAGAAGATACACATCTAGCAGTTTCACAGCCTTTGACAGAAATGTTCACAAATTCCTTCTGTAAGGTATGTTGTCATTGTTTTCTCATTAGTAACTGATGTAAGTGTGACTATAATTTGATGTTGGATTGTTTATCAATGAGGGGGCAGGTCTATAAGTAACAAACTGATAGTTTTAACAGATTTAATATGGTTTAGATTTTTTTATATTAGTAGCTATTCTCATCCTCTTCTTTTACTTAATGATATATCTTGGCTGACTTTTAAAAATCCTTTACAGTATGAGTATTTTTAGATTTCTGATATCTGAACTGACATTCCCCTAAAACATGGACTATAAATTAAAAGTTTTAAGGTCTGGAAAGCAACTATGCAGAAATAGATTAATCTGAAATTAAATCATCATTTCTAAAGCAAGTTTCACTAAATTTGATCATTGATGGGACTCTTATAATAAACAGAGAAAGGTTCAGGGTTACTGTGCAAAACTGAGACTGAAACCCAAGTTTGATGTCTGAAATGTCCAAATTTTCAGGAATTTGGAATAGGCCATAGCATTGTTTGAGAAATTTCAGGTTAGAGAGTATAGGGCCTCAGAGTGACCTCCCATGTTGTTTTTCATTCTATTTCAGTGCCTCGTGAACTCCTGCTATTTTTCTAACTCTTTCTAGTACATAATGAAGAATTCAGGAGTGAGGCTGACACCAGTAGTATAGGTTTAGCTTGGAACAGACACTGCTGACAGTATCACATTTAGCTAGATTTTCCAGGCTCTGTTTCTAGCATTTGTTGGGAAGAGGAGTTCTTAGAATTGCAGTGAAGATGTTAATTTGACAGTAAGCTATATCCTCCTTTTATACTTGGCAAAAGAGTATTGCAGTCATAGATTTATTCATCCAACAGATGAATTTTATTTATATGACATGATGTGAGGAGATGGTGGCATGTCTCTGTGTTCCTCACAGGGAACTCCCTTTTTTTCCCCTTTGGTTAAGGTTCTTTATTATCTGGGCTCTGGCCTCCTGAGGGAACCCTGTGTTAGTGACTTGGATGTGACTGTGACTGAAGTAGACCTCTTTTATTCCCAGGTGCCTGAGGCCTATGCTTGAGACAGCACTTGAATTTGCTCACACTTTAGCTACAGTCACCATTGACTTCATGCTGAAGAAATCTAACTTCTTTTTTTAACCTTTCCCAAAGCTCCAATTGACTTTTACATTCTGTTTGAATAAAGCTCTCTTTCTCTCTTTTGCTCTCTCTCTCAGATTGCATTTTATCATGAGAAATTTGTTATATAATATTTTTAAAACATATTTATTAAAACTAACTCCTGGGACTGGGGTTATGTGGTAGAGCTCTTGCCTAGCATGCATGAGGCACTGGGTTTGATCCTCAGCACCACATTAATATAAACAAATAAAATAAAGGTATAAAAAATATAATAACATTTAAAAAACCCAACTAGCTCCTTAGTCTCTCTGCAGTAATAATGTGATATTAGCACCTTTTAGGAGTCCTATTTTATAGCTGTGACTTTATTCTGTATTTGTTAACAGGACATTGTAGAAAAAGTTTAAAACTTAGCTGAAGCAGCATCATCACTGTTATAATTAAAGAAATTATTTGTCTCACCAAAGTGTACTTGAACGTTCTGTCATTTTAATTTTAGGATATTGCTTTTCTGTTCCACCAGCCCCCCACCACCATAAAATTTATACATATCCTAAGTAAATTCATTACCTTTACTTAAAATATGTGACATTTGCCGCTACCTCATGAGCTTCTCAGGCTCATTCAATGAATATGAGAATTATAAATTATGAAACTATGGTAATTTTACTAAAATTGTTGAGAAGCATCTGGAAGACAGAATAGATTAAAATTTTTAAAAATGCCTTTTTTAAACCCCAAACATTTACTTTTTAGAAAAATTTACAAACTGCCTAGACTTGTGGGAGATTTTAAATGGAAGGAACCCTAAAAGCAAATGCTATTGGTCAACAGTGTGTCTTTTAACTAGTTTTAAATAGTGATCTTTACTTATAAAATGTTTCCATTTTGTTTCTGTGCTATTTTTCCAATATTTTATGCTTTGGAAAACTGATTACTAAAGAAAAATTTTTTAAAACATAAGGACAAGATCATATTCTTTGTCAGTAATTTTGCAAAGTATATTTCCAGTGTTAGAGCTATCAGTTTTATTGAAATTTTAGTCTAAAGACAAAGGTAATAGTAGGTATATTTTAAATGTAGTAAATAGTTATAGTAACTCCATATTATGCCTTTTTGAAAATTATAGACTTATTTTGAACTTTAGAGTCATGTTTGAAAATAATGCAATTTTAAAAAGTCTTTCAAAAATGAAAAAAAAAATGTGTTCCCAGTACTACTGAAGATATTTCTGAGTTTTGTTTTTAATAAGCACCTACAGTTTGAACCTTACTAATGCAAAAGAAATTTGAAGATGATAGTAGGTGCGAAACAAAAATTTTATGTTGTTTTTAATTTATGGAATTAATATATGCTTGTAGTTTTAAAAATTTAGACAAGATGGAAAGATGAAAGTTTTATCTTTATTACCACTGTGAAACTTTTGTTATACATCTTTCTAGTCTTTGCTTTTAATACGTGCATGTGTATACATGCATGAATGAGCATGTACACAGATAATGTTTGTATCTTAAATGCTGTTTTTCTTTTTTGGTAAACTGATTTTTGACTTGGTATATCTCTTTGGTAGGATATTGACCATTTTGCTTCAAAAGTTTCACTACTATAAAGAGTCCTGTGCTTATATTTCTATTCTCATTCTTTATGTACAAATTCAATTTCTTGCTCATGAAGTGGTGGGATTACTGGGGGTATAGGGAAAGCAGAATTTTAAAAATTTGATTTATAGTTGTTTTATCATTTAGAAAAACTCAACAGATTCATATTCTTTTTTCTTTTTTGGTACCAGGGATTAAACTCAGGGGCACTTAACCACTGAGCTACATCCTCATCCTTCTTTTGTATTTTATTTAGAGACAGGGGCTCACTGAGTTGCTTAGGGACTCACTAAGTTTCTGAGGCTGGCTTTGAACTCATAATCCTCTTGTCTCAGCCTCCCGAGCTGGTGGGAGTACAGGCATGTACCACTGCTCCTGGCTCATAATTCTAATGTAAGTATTTGAGAGGAATTTTCCCTAGTTTTTATATTAATGCTTTTATTTTGATGTTAGAGTTCATGAAATGGAATTACAGGAGAATTACTAAAATGTGGGTATTTTATTATTAGATTACTTATAATACTTTGGGATGACTAAAGAGAAGTACATTGATTTTTTATTTAATTTCAGAATGACATTCTACCCCTTTCAAACTCAGTGCCTGAAGATGTGGGAAAAGCTGACCAATTAAAAGATGAAGGTAAGTATTTCATACAGAAATTGTTTATTTAGTAAAGCTTTGTAAACTGTGGAGAAAGTAACTGTGAGTTGATGAGATTCTGGTTTACACTGCCAAGACTGAATTATCCACACAGCATTTATGAAGCAGAAATGAATGTGACAGATGTGAAGCCTGGAAATACAAAATGGCATGTGGGCAGTATAGGTATGGCTTGTATGAAAAGAGGCAGAGATCTTGTAAAACTTCCAGAACAAATGTAAGGTCTGTTCACTTGTAACTGCATTTGCTACTTGAACCCTAGGATCTTATATTTCTCTATATTAAATCAAAAAGAGGAAAATAATTTTTTGTATTATTTTAACTTTCGTATATTTAGTATTCTTGAGTTCTTTGAAATTTGTTAATGCATGTATATGGTGCTTGAATTATTAAGTAACTAGCACACTTGATTTGTACATTACAGAATTTTCTAATAGCTGACTATTGAAGCATTTTTTAAAATTTTAATCAATAAATGATTTTGAAGATCTGTGTTCAATTTTTCCATCATGTCTTTATCACTCTTAAAAGAAACAGTATATCCAATATATCTTTATATTTATTGACGATTCCTAATTTATAGTAACTTTTGTATGATTTTGGATGCTTTTATCTACCTGCCTTTCCTTTAGTCTTCCTTCTTATTCTCTGCAAGTTCCCATCCTACCACTTCTATTAAATATCTAATGATCTATTAAGAAAAAACCTTGCTGGGCATGGTGGTACATGCCGGCAATCCTAGTAGCGTGGGAGGCTGAGACATGAGGATCGCGAGTTCAAAGCCAGCCTCAGCAACAGTGAGATGTTAAGCAACTCAGTGACACCCTGTCTATAAATAAAATACAAAAAATGGGGTAGGGATGTGGCTTAGTGATTGAGTGCCCCTGAGTTCAATCCCTGGTACCCCACCCCCCAAACTAAAGAAAAAGGCTGATAGGAGAAGCTCTGGTTTACAGAAAGCTGGAAGCAGTCATAGAGGCCTCTGAGCTGGGACTTGTTCCTCCTAATCCCAACTGTTGTAATATTTTCAATTTTGAACATTGGTTCTTATAAATACACAGGATACTTCCCCCTCCCCCTCACTTAACAGAATATAAGAGATACTCTCTTACATATTTTGCTGACCAGTTGTTAAATTAGCTGTTATTGCCAGATGTATCTGCCCTTTCTGAAAATCAGCTCTCTGTAGAGTAGCTATCATATCTGAAATTCTATCTTTCTAGAAATTAATCTCCTAAAATCTCCTTTTAGTAAGATTATATCTCTGGAAGGAATAGCACATAAAAATATTATCTGCTAATAACATATTAGTATGATTAGTTTCACCAGCTTATCCACATCAGCATTAGAGCTTGGCTGCTCAGCAGTGTGTTGACAGGGAGGGGTAGAAAATCAGGCTCAGACTGAGACGGCTATCAGAGAGGAACCAGCAAGGCAGCTCTAAAAGGGAACAGAGAGAAGAAGATAAGGTGAGAAGAGATTCATTTTCACCATGAGATAATCATGATGGTTGCATTAACTCACAGAAGCCTGGATTTTATAAAGTATACAAACATTAATTTCTAAGATGCCACATTGTTAAAATGATTCGATCCCACTGAAACTAAGGAATACAGTATGTCTCTGGTGTGACTGAAAAATTGTGTAGCTGACCTTCATATTCTTGTAGTTTCTGTGCATTAAATATATCTGTTAGACTTTGTATTTTTTATTATGTTTTAGGCAATAACCACATGAAAGAAGAGAATTATGCTGCTGCAGTAGATTGTTACACACAGGCAATAGAATTGGATCCCAATAATGCAGTTTATTATTGCAACAGGTAAGTTGGCTCTATTGTGGCAGGTTTACAAGTGCTTAGATTAATAGCTCTGAGGGAAAACTGCAAAATTGATTTATTTAGAGAATGTTGGAAGTTCAAACAATGTAAACAATATAAAGGAGATGAAAATAAACTCATAAACTTACCACTCAAAGGCAATCACTTTTAATGAACTTTTGGCATATTTCATTTTACATAAATGCATTCAATTTTAGATTGAGCTTGTTTACAGGACATACCATAAATGTGTCCTAATTTTGTTGAAATCATTCATAAATACTATGGTTAAAAATCACTTTATTGCTACCTTTTGGTCTTTTTTTTTTTATATCTTCAGCACTTGTCATTATGGCTGGCAAATAAGTGTTCTGTGTTATTTTTGAATAGTGGGTAGCTACACCTTAATTTACTTAATTTTTGATTTACTGGCAGACATTAAGGTTGTTTTTATTTTTTAAATATTATATAAAGCTGCAATGAACATTCATGTTTCTAGAATTTTTTTCAGGATTCAGATTTTATGAACTTTGAATTTATCCCTAGAAATACATTTAGTTGGTCTAATAATATAAATATTTAAAAATTTAATTCAAATTGCAAAATTGTTTTAATTTCTTTGAAAATATTTTGAAAATTTCCTCCCCCAGGAGTGTATATCTATTTTTGCCATGTTCTTTATCAGCACCATGTCCTCAAATTATTAATTATTATTAATACAATATTTTAAAAAATATTTTTTAGTTATACATGGACACAATAACTTTATTTTGTTTACCTATTTTTTTATGTGGTGCTAAGATTAAACCCAGTGCCTCACATGTGTGAGGCAAGCGTTCTACCACTGAGCCACAACCCCAGCCCTTAGTATAATATTTTATTTCCATACCCATTATCCTAATTTATACTTAATTACTTTGAGGTTGGATGTTTTTCCAATGTTGGTTATTTGTGGATTTTTTTCTCCTAATTTAAAAAATTTTTACTGTATGTACACTGAATGTGACAAATTCACATCAGACCCTAAACCCCAATGTGGTGTGTTTGGAGGTGAGACCTTTGGGAGGCAATTGGATCACAAGTATGAGCTCTTATGAATGGGATTAATGCCCTTATAAAAGAGAATTCTCTGCCCCTCCTGTCACCCGAGGACATGGTGAGGCAAGTACCTGTACCAGGCCTTACCCTGATGACATCAGATTGTTTCTCTTTCTTGGTTCTGTCCATGTAAGAGGGATCAGACCCCCATAGGCTGTATTTCCAAGGCTTTTTGTGTCCTCTGTGTTCAACCATATGAAGAGCTAGCAAGAGATTGGAGGGTAGAAGGAAGAGAGAAGTCTGACTATTTCTCCCCCTCCTGTTTTTATATCATGGTGGTATTCAGGAGGGTTTTTTCTCATCCTTGTTGCCTCCTTTCACCCAAGACACCTGCTGTGATCCCTGCTTCATCCAGGTGACCTTGGGTTTTGGATTCTGTACTTTGTGCTTCTGTCTTAGGGATGGTAATGGATTCCTGCTCTTGCTAATCTTTGGATTGCTATAACATTCCATTTGGCCTCTCAACTCTTCTATTATCTTATGTAATGACTTCCCTGCATTAAATTATTATTAATTATTCTGTTTAATCTAAACAGAATTTCCAGAGAACTTTCTGCAGTGATGGTAATGTTCCATATTTGCACTGTCCAGCACAGTAGCTGCTAGCCAAAAGTGAACTATTAAGACTTGAATTATGACTAGTGCAATTGAGGAAGTAAATTTTTGATGTTTAACTTAATTTAAAATCAATTTAAATTAATTAATTTAAATTTAAGTAGTCACCTCTAACTTATGGCTATATATTGCCGTATATTAAAGATAAGATAAAGTTTTTCTCCTAGTTTCAAAGCTTAAATTTGCATCTAATTCTTTGTATTTAAAAGTTTAAAATATTTATGTAGTCAGAATTCTTTTCTTTGAATTTTTTTCCAGAGCTTTTAGGCTTCAAGCTCTCCCCGTTTATAGACTTGACAAATGACTTCTATTTTCTAATTTTTCTTTACATTTAAATTTTGTCATCTCAAGTGTATTTTGGTGACAAGTATGACTGTTTTAAACTCATGTAAAACTTCCTATGACAGCCTTATAAAAACTACCATTTATTTTACAGTAGTTTCATAGATTTGAAAGGGATAAAAGTTAATGTGGTCTAACCTTTCATTGAGTTTTATTGACATATTTAGGGTAGTCACACCCCTCTGAGAGAGCCCACACTTTCCCAATTTTTTTTTTTTTTTGTGGGTGTATTTGTTAGAAAAGTCTGCCTTATTTTGATACAGGATTTGTTTTTCTGCAACTTGTATCAATTGGCTTTATTTAATTCTTAAGATTAATTACAGAATAAATATGAGTCTTCTTTCTCATGACAGTACTTTACCTTTGAAAGTTTGCTACCATGTTCATTGAAGTTCTTTTTTCCATGTTAAATGTTCAAAATTTCTTTCATTGTGCTTTAGGTAGTACAGACCTAAGTCCCATACCTTCTCTGCAAACTTGTCCCAGTTCACCTGTGTCTGTTAGGTAGTTCCCAGAGGCTAATTTTGCATGACATTTGTCTGGTAGAGCTCTCATTTAACCAGCTTTTATATAACATAATTATCTTTTAGAACGTTGTAGGATATCCTGTAGGATTTCCTAAATTCATATTTCCTTTTGTTTGATTAAAGCACCCCCCACGTTCTCCCTAGCTTATCATTTAATCACAATTCATTTGACAAGTTCTTACCAAATATGTACTAGTGTTGTCATTAGAGGTAGAGTTGGTTGCTTGGACTCAAACGCAGGATGTTATATTCTACCCCTATAGAATTATTATCTTGTTGCGGCCTCTATCTGTCCCTTCATCTTTTTGGATAATGAATCTGTAAAGTAATATATTTGCTGTTGTTCCCAGTTTCATGACATCCAAAAACTTGAGAAAAATACCATCTCTCACATTATTGTCAGTTACAAGTCAACTAATGGAGCAATCATAGGGAAGTAGTTCAGAGCAGAAAGTGAACCCTGATTTTTTCGATTTTAATTTCTGGCTCAAGTGATTTTTGTGATTTTTGGCAAATTACCTAATGATCTATGCCTTACATTCCCTATTTGTAAAATATGAACAATAATAGAATTTACCTCATTGGGCTGTTGTGGAGATCAAAAATTTAATTTATGTAAAGTACTAAGAAAGAATCAAGCAAAGAATGTTGGATTAAAGTAATAACTTATCATTATTATTTTTTGTAGCCTATTTTTCTGCTTTGATCATAATGTGAAGAGAGAACCAAATTTATCAGGTTCCAAATATATTCTCAGTCATCTTTCTCTGATTACCAGTCTACTACTAATACTATTAAGATAAAAAGGAAACAATGTTCATCTGATAGAACTTGTTCCAAATTAATCCAATGTCATTTTCTTTTCTTTTTTTAATATCACATATTTTATTGTGAAAATTTTCAAGGTTGAAGGAATTTTATTGCAAATAATTATACCACACCAAGATTTTGCCATTAGTATTTTTTTCGGGGGTGGGTACTGGGGATTGAACTCAGAGGCACTTGACCACTGAGCCACATACCCAGCCCTATTTTATATTTTATTTAGAGACAGAGTCTCACTGAGTTGCTTAGTGTCTCGCCATTGCTGAGGCTGGCTTTGAACTCATGATTCTCCTGTCTCAGCCTCATGAGCCACAGGGATTACAGGCATATGCCACCATGCCTGGCCCATTAGTATTTTTATATATTTGCTTTATCACATATTGATCCATCTATATGTACCTCTATTCATTCATTATTCCTGCTCTTTTTTTTTTTTGTGGTGCTGGGGATTGAACCCAGGGCCTTGTGCATGCAAGGCAAGTGCTCTACCAACTGAGCTATATCCCTAGCCCCCATCTTATTTTTAATGCATTTCAAAGCAAATTTCAGTGATCAGTACACTTCTATCCTAAATACATAGCATACATATCATTGATTAGAGTTCAGTATTTGTTTATTTTTTTTCTTTTCAGGTAAAATATATATACAACAAAATATATAAATTTTAATGTACTTTCAGTTTTGACAAATAAATCACCTGTGTAACTTAAGCACATCTTCAAGATATTGAAAATCATCATCAGATGTCCAGGAAGTTCTTTATGCCCATTCACAGTCAGTTGCTTATAATGCTCACCAGGGATGATCACTGGTGCTATTTTTCTCTCCTACCATAGATTGGATTTGTCTCCTCTAGAATTTCATAGGAAAGAAATTATAATACTTTTCTATATAATTTTTTTTTGAACTGAGGATTGAGCCCAGGAAAACTTTACCACTGAGCTATACCTCCAGTCCTTTTTTTTTTTTTTTTTTTTTTTATTTTGAGACAGGACCTCAATGAATTGCCCAAGCTGGCCTTGAACTCACACTCCTCCTGCTTCAGCATCCCAAGTTGCTGGGATTACAAGCAGGTGCCACTGCCTAGCTACATAAAAATTTGTTGTTGTTGTTAAGCATGTTTTTGTGATTCAGCCATGTCATTGTGTGTAGTTTATTCTTTTTTATTGCTCAGTAGTATTTTGTTGTTTGAATATATCACAGTTTGCTTAGCCATTTTTCTACTTAGGGTTACTTGGTATCTCAGTGTGTTTCTGTTTTTGCATTTTGTCAAAAAATTAAAGTTATCTATGTAAGGACTGGATCCATAAGGAATTTAGTTGGTCATACTGGAAATCTAAATTTTTTTTAAAATCAGTTTTTTAATTTATATATGACAGCGGAATGCATTTCTTATTACACATTAGAGCACAATTTTTCATATCTCTGGTTGTATACAAAGTATATTCACACCATAACATGTACTTTGGATAATAATGTCCATCACATTCCACCATCATTTCTTACCCCATACCCCCTTCCTTCCCCTCCCACTCCTCTGCCCTATCTAGAGTTCATCTATTCCTCCCATGCTCCCTCTCCCTACCCCACTATGAA